CCCGTAGGTGCCCACACGAGGACGGCTTGCACTCGTCGGCTAATTACCGTGCCGTTAATCTTAGTGGTCCCATGTGTTCGTCGTAGGATCGCTAGGTCAACTTATGCTGACTGGCCTGTGCACAAATTCCAGTTACTTAGAACGAGATTATCGATAGGAGAGGAAATATGAGAATTATGAGTTGAAAAGAAGACTTTTCCCACCAGCTGTCGATTTTGCAGCAAGAATTTAGCAGATTCGGGATGTCCGCTTGCGGTAAACTCATCCAGTGCTTGAGAGAAGTATGGTCTTGAAAAGGAGAGTTTTTGAATTCTCTACTTTTATCATATTCGCTTTCTTTTAAGCCCGTACTACCTATGAGTTGAAATCGCGGATGGTGTCTTTAAGATTGTTCGTTTGCTGCGTATAAGAATGCTTTCCTCTGAGAAGTTATTCTAGATTGAAATCCCTCTATGTCAAGAACTACGGCGTTTCGCTGTGGAGAATCCTTCTGAACAAGCAACTGCAAGGTTCACCTGCTTCAAGGAATATGTAAGTGTCACGGAGTTTCGGTGTTATTCCTGTAAATTGTTCATTCGTTCTATTGCATTGTAGTGCGCTGCCACTTTGCTCCCTGGTACATGTGTGGTTATTCCGTCCTATTTCGACTTTGTTCGTGTCAGAAATCATTTTAAAAGAATTGAAGAAAGTTTTGTAGCGTGTCATGAATACGCCCCGAAATCCAAGGTAAGTCAGAACGATTTCAAAGGTTCATTAGCTCTTCGTCAGCTGAATTCCCTTGACTTCCCATAAAGAAAGAATCTGTTTCAGATTCTCAGAGCACGAGATCTCTTTTATCATAAACACAAGAAAGTGCTCCTGGTTACCGAGCGGTATTATTACTTTAACAGGAAACCTTTGAAGGTTTGTCATTAGCAGTTTTGACTTTTACAAGTCTCAAGTCTCTTCTGCACCGGCTTCCCATTTGTCTGTTTCTCTGGGTGTCTACCTGTCCGCCAGTCTATCTCTCTGTCTGTCTATATGTTCATCTAACTGTCTATATGCCTGTCTTCCCGTTCAGGTGTTATCTATTCCTGATACGAACGGGTGATTTGCTTCTGTTGAGAATGTCCTTTGGCGCGTCATTTTCAGTGATTCGTTTGGAATACCTAGGGTGCGCGATCATGCTTCAGTCATAGTCTATCGAGCGACGCCGATTTTGATTTGTTTCGCAGACGACCTGGAACAGGAATAAAATTAAAATTCTATGGAAAAGTTCTCAACTCAAAGGACTGGAAAGGCTCTGCGTCGTTCGGCGACTTCGGTTCCAATTTTCTTATGTACAAGCCGTTCCGCTGAAGCCCACCGTGTTACGTGCATACGATGAAACAGGCCATCTCATAAACCGGCTGTGTGTTATGCCGAACATTGGCGGTCATCGAAGTATCCGCGCGATGCTCTTCTTTTGTCTGGGCGCTCGAAAAAGGGTAAAACTGGTTCTTGAAAACTTCTTTTACATCGCGACGACATCGCAGAGGATATTTCTATCATCATTGAAGACATTCTGTCTTCACAATTCTCAAACTGTTTACTATTTTACCATCTTTCTTTTGTGCCCGTCTGGTATTCTACTTATGCGTAGGAGTGTTTTACTTCTGCTGAATACTTTCGCGGCATTTGTCGAGTTACGGAGGTAGTTTTTGATTCTTTTTACAGTCAATAGAGAAGGTTTTACCAGACAGGAAAAGAATACTAGCATGAAAAAAATAGCATCAAGCAGTGAGACATTTCTGCCTAGTTGAGAAGAGAATCTGTAACAAAGGAAGCCAGTGTGGGGGATAGGAAGAGTTAGTTTTGTGAGCGGAGAGCGCTCGAAGAAACTTAGTTTGAAAAACAGGGAATTCTAGATTTTCTAATGAAAAACTGCTGAGGGTGATTCGCTAATTTAACTATAGGCGTAGAAAAAAAAACAAAAATTCACGCTGTTGATCAATCCCTTCCTTTGGAATGCGGTACGCATTCTGCTTCCGTTCAGAATCGTAGTGGCTTATTGAATTAGATGTGGCCTGACATGCGGACCAACCGATGCGCAACCCAGTGTTTTTATCCCCCTACACGAATATGGGGCCAATTTGCCGTCCTCTGAGGCTTGAAGTCTTGGTTGGCATAGGTGGGAGTCAATCCAGAATTTGATCCTTGGACTGCGTGCGTGATAAGCGAGCCACTTGCCACTTTACCACCCTCGCCTCAGAAGAGCATTACTATAATATGTAACTCCAAATGTTATCTTTGTGTTCGAACGATAGTAAGTAGCTGACATGCGAAAGTTTCGGCGACAATCCCGTTTTTGACGGTATCGTTGTCCTTTTGGGTTTGGTGCGGAGAATCACCTCCGTATTGGGGCCAATTTGCTGTCCCGATTCGGACGAGTATCATGTATCAACGAGGGTAGTATGTGTTTTTGTAAAGAAAGCTCATCTGGCTCCATGTTTGCATGGATCTGATGAAGACACCGTCCAATTTGAACAAAATTCAAGCTTGAAATGAAAATAGAAAATCTGTCACCTACCTAGAATACATGAATTCCTCACTGTATGTGTTTTCGTAAGGAATTTATTTATTCTGGACAGATGAGTGATTTTCCATTTTTCATCTGAAATTTGAATTTTGTTCAAATTCGGCGGTGTTTCGACCAGATCCATGCAAACAGGGAGCCGGATGTTTGTTTGCTTTGGCTTTCCTTAGTGCTCATCATCAATGCAAACTGCGGCGCTAGGCTGCAGTGGCTAGAGCAGGCTACATTATACCTGTGGGTTGTGGACAGCAATGGCATTGGCTTTTTTTTTTTTGCAATAGCAGTTTGATACCTCTTTGGGGTGGCGCTATTCAAGTAGTTTCAATCCCTATTCTTGAAGACAAGAAAGTTATTACGTGTTGGAAGCGAAGGGGATTACAGGGGAGCGTCTGTTCTTTCGTGTCAGGCACGAGATAAGTGCGTTATGTGGGCAAACTTCTCTCGAGCGTATCACAAAGAGAACGTTGTTTTCCTTTGGCCTGCGTGGAAGTACAACAGTTTATAGCGAAGAAGCAGCTTGACAACTGCCTCGTGTGCACATTTTAATCAAATTATATTATCCGAAGTAGCACCAATTACCTCATTTTTCTACTGTGAAATTAAAGAGCAGTCTTCTCTGATTTTTCCCCTCCCCTATTGTGCACTATAAAGTGCAGCTGACGGATACACTGATTCCATGAACGTTCTTTTGTTTGCAAGTTCTGCTCAGTTGTGTATGTCCGCTTTTAGGGTATGTTTCTATAAAAGCACCTGGGCATATTCTCTCAGTTTCTTAATTACGTATCTTTTTCCAATAGAATTTCTGACTGTCCTGGAAGCGCTTGCGCGCTGTCAACGCCGATTTCGATGCAATTCCATTCATACATCCACAACAACGTTAGATTGAGGATCGTTGCGAATTGAATACCTACAAATTCAAGATTCACAGGCTGGCAATCAAACAGAGGACAAGTCGTTGCGCAGTTCGTTCGAAGAAGTTCATGCATCATCGGTTTGCCGGCTTAGTAAGAACGCTCAGATAGATACAAGTGCCTGTCTAGGATCGTATATCAAGTATTATTTTTCAAACTTCACTGTAGACGGATTCATGTTAATTTTCTTGGATCTCGATTTGTTGTCTGTCTGTGTAGATTGTGGGACAGGCGATGCGGCCTTATCGGCTGGGAATTTTCCTTATCTTGGGCTTTGGGAAAGTGCTGCAAATAGACTACTACGGTGAGTGAGGCGCTCGATCAGCAGTCACGGGACAGCCACTAGTGAGTTGCTCCACATTTCTTGTCCGATACTTAGACCCGAAAGGCCCAAGAAGAGAAGAGACTGCCCGCATAAAATTTCTTTAAGCGTATAGGCGCAAATTCCTCAGTTCGATCATTACTAGGATCAGAGACACGTCTCCTACGAAAACACGTGCAACACACCTGCTGGCTGGTTTGCGGCTAAGGCTCACTTGTCTAGTAAAACTCGAACTCCCTAATCCGAAGATTATGCCCAGCTTCTCTGGGATTTGCAAGGCACACTGTTTTGGGAGAGACTCAGATACATTCAGGCACTCATCGTCGATAGCTGCATGGGACATCTCTGGAAATTGGCGGTAGCAACGCAGAATAGCCATTTGAAACGTCTCCAGGATGCGCTTCCCATGGTGACGCTTGAGTCGTCACATTGCAGAAAAACCGATGATAGCAAATCCTTCGTATGGCATTGGTATTCTTTCATCTTAGTGCTATCTGTTCTGCGCTCTGACCAGCAACTGTTGGCAAACGGTAAGAACGACCTCTTCAAATCCTTCGATCGCCAGCGTCCATCATTCTGGAAGGAAGCCAGTCAGTCATTGCTCAGCGAATGGAAATGAATGCAGATCAGTGAGCCTACTGCTAATTATACTATTGATTCAGATGTCTGTTAGAAGAGAGGAAAATTAAATACACAAAAGTTCCGAAAATCGGATGTTTTATGGGAAAACCTAGTGCAGGTGATGACTCAGAGAAATTCAAATTTCCGAAAACGACTTTTTATTCGGACCGTCAACCAATAAACGTCTCCATTTACGAACCTGATACATCAGAACTACAGGAAGACTAATGACTTCGTTTACGACATTTCGAGCACTTCGTATCAACTGAGAGTTGCAGCGGTTACAGCGCATGCAGGGCTGGCTAAAAAGGTGCACTCTATCGACGTCGTCCTGCTGCACAAAATTAGGCGAGAAGGAAGCAATTCGTTGTGATTTGTTGCAGTTGATATTGGCGAAGAGTAATTGGAAAGGGGTACGTAGGACGCATAAGGACGCATTCTCATTGTTCCTACATTCATCACTATTATCCTCATCTAGCTCTATATCTTGGGGCCTTATATTTCGCCGTCATTTCCATTTCCTACTTTTGGTTTATCGGTGGCGCGCGGTGTTTCGCGTCCAATGCTTCATTTATGGTTTACCCGAGTAGACCACATTTCTGTGGAGGATAACTATAGCGCAAGATAGCTCCTCGTATACATGCCTGGAAATGTTGGGTTTTAACACTTGCGAGGCCGCCCTTTCTAGCAAGAATCTGCGGCATTCATTTCGTCACTCTTTGAATCGATAACTACTAATTCCATCTTTTTTTTCACTTTCGTGTGAGAGTTGTGTATATTGTGTGCGAAAGTGTGTTCCAATAATCTTAGAATACGAAAATAGATGCCAAATGGATCCATATAAAAGCGCAAAAGAGAAAAATGTTATCGACAGCATCCGATGTGTGGTCAGCGCGCGTCCGTTTGTAGATTATATGGCCCGTCATCCATCCGACGTCACGCGAATGGAGGAGAGTCGCGTTAGATTGTCCGGTTTCGCAAGGGGCCTTTGGTGTTTCTGCGTCCGACATCTCTTAAACTAACGCGTAAAAAAAAGGCAACTCGCCATCTGGGAGTCTGGGGGCGGTGCTCTAATACTCGAATTCGGCTTTTCTGGTTGGGGAGGGTACAGCTAGAAATAACGCGGCTGGATTACGTGCGCGGTAAGGGGTGAGAATGGATGGCCGGATTCAGCTTGGATCAACTGCTATTGCCTTTAAACTGGTATAGGACTGGTTTGAGAGGATAAAAACAGAGTAAATAAGCTGGTCTCGACAAGTCATTGTGTATTGTCAGTGTGCACATTCACAAAAAGAAGCTAAGTTTGCGAAGGTGCAGTTCAGCGAGAGGGAGCGAGTTGCACGTTTGCTGCTTTACACTCCTTATCCCTGAACCACGCTAGGCGTGGCATTCGAGGGCCACCATTGGCAACGGACACCCGGTTAGCGCGTGGTCATATCCCAATCTGGACATCTGTCATCTTGTTGCTGTTTGGTAAGCGAGGCACGACAACAGTTTGTGTGACCAAGATGGGAATATTCCACCAGAACCGGCATCAGAAAACCTTCAAGGTTAAGATTGAAATATGGCGGGCCACGCTACCCGATCTGCAAGGGATTTCGAGTATACATGGCGTCAGTGTCTTTTGCGCTTAAGCAAATTAGCGCTTAACATACAAATTTGCCGTTCCCATTTTGTTAAAGTATTTGGATATTTTTGACAAGGGGTTGGATTCATGGTAATAATATGCAGAACTCCAGGAGCTGGTCATGCATTGTTGTAATAATCTCTGTATGTAAAACGCTTCAGCCTACCGTAAAAGGCGTTCACATGTGTGAGAATGTTCGATTGTCGAAATTTAATTCAATTCTTCTTTGATGCGACTGTATTTTGCACGTTATATACATATTAATGGTGCTGACGCTGTCATATTTCATGTAGCCGTATTATTTCAGGGAATGGCGAAAATCGTTTTCTATCAGCTCCCTTCTCATCCAGATTTCTATAGCGAATTCATCAATATGGCCAGCTGTGAAGCTGCTAACAGGTTTAGCTCTGTGTTGTTCTATTGTAAATACGATCGAATTCGGCTTCAAAACACTTTTGGAACTGAACTAGCAAATTCTATCTTATCTTCAAGTAAGACCGTACAAGTTATTGTGTCGGAATGAACTAGGAACTCCTATCAAACGTACTTCATTTCCGAGGATCTTTTGTTGATTTACATTTCCTCCTCACACGATTGATACTGTAGTTGACATTTCGGTTTTTTTTGTTGTGAGCTGCATCCTTATATCATGAGAAAATAATTCAGGGAATACGAGCGCAATGCATAGTTAATCAAGACGTTGGGGTGCAAGTGTTTTCTCGAAGCGTGCCATTGAAGTTGCAAATGGTTGACCTTGACCACCGCGTTCGTCATGCTCTTGGTAGCAACGATCGGAAACATTTTCGGAATTTGCAGATTTGTTCATAAAAAACCTACTTGTGAGATCAGTCTGGGAAACCTCGTGAAGATTTTTAGCGTCTTTCATCCACCATATTCCTTTTGGAAAGATCTATTCGTCCAGGACGGCTGTTGATACGGACAGCCAACACAGCATCTCTTCTAGCTCCTTAGTATTAATTAGCAATGGTATCCGTGACCCTTTTTGTTGTGCCAAATTGTTCAACTACGACTACGTAACGGCAACATTGTCTGAGCTGAAATTTGCATTTCGGCAAAAAAAACTAGATTCTGCCTTTTTGAACACAGTATATCTCTCGACAGAGAATTTTTCAACTTCGAAAACTGTTGTCTTTTTGCGGAAGGCTCCACTCAACGCTGCTAGATTCCTCAATCAATACATCGCTCGACACTGCTTCCTCCCTTTTGATTCAGCGTTTATCCCGCTCTGCAGTGGGATCAGCTCTTAAAGTTTTGTGACGTCCATTCCCTGATTGAAGGCCTGATCAAGGTGGATGCCGACTACTTTTAAGTCTGCATGCAGCGTATCTAGCCAAGTGCTGCTTGGGGCGTCCCTCAGGTTGTTTTTCGGGTTCAAGATCAGTATTACGGATGGTGTCAGAATTTGCGCACAACACACGGCCATACCGCTGAGGAAGAGCTCCGCGCAATTCCTCGATTTCGGGAGCTACACCGAATTTCCTGCTCATTTGGTCCTTGCGAGCGCGATCCATATGCATGGTGCCGGCCGGCATAACAGCGTAACATTATCGTTTCACCCGAAGGCGAGCCTCATCTTCGTTGGTCGCAGCTAACATTCAGCAACGTATGATGTCACAGGTTGAACGATGGTCCTGCATATCTTCGATCTGAGGCGCTTTAGTATTGCCTTGTCGTAAAGTCCGAATCCAGAAGGCCATCACGTGGTTGTTGATCCGAGATTCTTGAAAGTTGTTATATGCGTTATCTCACTCCCTCTGAGCTCAGGAGGACCAGGCTCGTTTGAGTTGGTTGCAAATGTACTCGGTTTCCTCAACGTTCAGTCTAAGTTCGGAGTTGGCCAAGCGCTCAGATCAAGCTTCAATCTGTTGCTTGGGATCATTGTTATTCACACAGGCGAGCATCACATCGCATAGAGAAGTGTCCAATTAGTTGGTTACTGAAAGGTATTGTCTCGTGAAATGGCTCCCATGACAACCAAGAAATAAGGGGGAGAGAGCGGAGCCTTGGTCAGTCCAGCTATGATAAGGTATTCCATTGACCATGATCCATGCTGATGTTCACGCGCGACTCGTTGAGCTGGAAAACAGGATGCCACCCCTCTCAATTAGCTCTTTGGCACCGCCGTGTTATGAGGTCTGCCATATAACTCCAGACCGTACCTGATCGAATGGTGTTCCCTGATCTGGGAAGGCCACATGCACCGCCTTTCGCCCTTCACGATCTCGAATTTCGAATTTTTATTACTTTTTTCAAAGTCGCTGTTTTTACACCCACTCCTCGCATAACGAAGGTATGATAGACGCACATTTATGCACTGATACACGAGGCTCCCGCGCGCCTTTGACACAAGCCGCTCTTTTTTTTGCGTCTTTTTGCAGAATTTTCATTCTTTCTTAAGTTCTCACATTTTTGGTCTCCCAGGTAGCCCCACCCACCATGAGAATCTCCGCCCATTTCCCGTAAGCCCCGTCCACTTATGAAAAATGATGCGGATATGCAGGACAAAGTCCTCACCTGGCGTGTTAGAGCCCCCTCCGCACGCGACAGCAAAATAAAATCATGCCCAAGTCCATTCGGGATAAAGTATGATATTTGAGACTTCAGCCTGTATCATTTTTCAAACGTAGGCTTGGCTGTCGGGAGGGCTTGCTGACCAGCGCGATCGAGCTCATTAATTGCTCCTGTGTAAGGTGTGGTGATTTGATTTGTTTAAAAGGTGATTTGATTTGAAAGCGATGATTGTGATTTTGAATAAAAGTAAGTTCATTATGGCGTTTTGAAAAAGGGAGTCAAAGTGAGTATGGTACATCATTAAGTAGGTAATTGTGTGTTATTCACAAGTGGACAGGTTTTGCCCTGGTATTCAGTGACTGTTGTGTGGCACAATTAGGAATGTGCTTGCCTTTTTCTTAATTTACAACGTGCAAGATTGCGCTCATATTCGCTGACTATTGCATTTGCCTTATAAAGTTCAGTCCTGATTGTGGAGAGCATGTAGGTTCTGTGAGTCACTACTGTTAATAATCGTTGAAGTGGGCAGTAATTCAGAAAGACTTGTTTAAGCTTCCGAATTTTATCTCGATGGTTTAAGCTTCCAAATTTTCTCTCGATGTTTAGCAGATGAGTCGCTTTGTGAATTTTTCGTTAGTTTCCTGAATCTGACTTTCCATGAGTGTTCCCGTGGTAGTTGTTGTAACAAGCAATAGTCATAACTGTTCCAATCATTGTTCGTTTGTTGCAGACGAGTGTTGTTACTGTTATTGTTGTTTCTCTCAGATTTTTATGCTTCACGTGTTTCAGTCACTTCCAAAATATTCCATAAACCTTTCTATATCAGTTCGTTTTTTTTGCCTGAGGCACTTGTTGAAAACAGTTTTGATCACAGACGAAAGAATGTGGCGAGCGGCTGCAGTACTCGCAGTATTGCACTGCGTTTCTGCATACCTCGGACCAAAAATGGGCGAGCAGAATCAATGCGACGATGGGAAGGTGAGTTTTTTCTTTTTCTTTTCTAGATTATTTCTACGACATGGCATTTTTTTATGTATAGCTGATATCGTCGCTGATGGCGGCGGTTTTAGTAGGGATGGAATAAGCCTACCCGCGGCGTTTGTTTCTGGTTGCTTCCCACCCAAATCGATCACTAACCGATCGTAGTTGGTAGGGCAAGACAACCGAAGGCAGGCTCATTCCACCCCTCCTGCCACCGCCCCGGCTAATTGTGACATCGCCACTCTATACTACCGTTCATGCAGTATTCATGGCTTCACAGATGTGTTCTGTTGCAGTCTAACCTCTATGTCGACTGGGATCCTGCGGATTTCACCACGTTCACTTGTATGGGTCAAGAATACCCAATTAGGGAGGCAAGTTACTATAATTGCTTAGTTTTTTCCCCAGTTTTCCATGAACTTTTCTGATTCAAGGATGTGTCCTCCAGTCTCTTCGAGCTTAAGTCAATAAATGCATCTTTCAACCCGAGAACTGATGTTGTGTATCACAGATGCATGTCGGAAAGGATTGAATACGATACTTCTCCCCCACTCAGGTTTGTCTCTTCTCATTATAGTTCTTGTGCTACAGTGTTGGTTCCACTTACGAGTTTCTTCCTTTATCGGGAGCAAAAAAGGTGTAAGTCTAAAGAACCCCTCTGTTTTACCGGCTAGAATGTACTTGGTGTGGCTAATGAGGATTATGTTACCGGAGTACATTATCGCGAGATGCTGATTTTGGTATAGTAACTTCTGAATGATTACACAAACCCCAGGTAGTATGTGAAAATGCTAGCTCTCACACTTGGGTGTCGTTAGTCCCAAACTGTGGCGAGCGCGGCAAAGAGGCGTTGAAAGCGTATGCACACAAGGACCCAATCATTTAGACGTGGCAGCGCTGCGTTGCACCAAGTCAACCACCTAGGAAATACGCGACTAATCTGCGCGCGATGCCGCGACTCGGGACCAACAATTTATCTCATATACTATCCTTCCTCTGTCACGCTGCATTTTTTGCATGCTGAATTTCAACGCTTTTCTTATTTTCTCTTTGCTACTTGTGAATTACATCTAGTTTTTAGAGGCGACCACAGGCCAAACTGGGCCAAGTTTGGAGAGTATCTGTACGTTCCCGAGCAACGATGGCTTCATAATCTGGAGGTAACTGACCGTTATTCGCTCTCATTTGCTTTGCTCAAAACTAGTCTGAGGTAGCGCCATGCGATTGAAATAATTAGGAAACAGTATTGAGAACTAGGTTTCGGTTGTTTGATTGGAAGCCCTTGCGTCGTTACGTGGGATGCCCAGTTGCACAAATCTTCAAAACCTGCACTAAAATCGTCCACAAATCATAGGCCAGACGATCACATAATTGGACTGGGGAGCACTCAGCAACGAGTCGGGGTCCCCTTTCTGGTCCAGTCCTCAAACAAGCGCGTGCTGACAAGTTCGCGACCACATCTTTGCCAGGGACATGATATAGGGTACAGGGGTGTAGGTTAGGACTCCACGAGAGGTCACGGCTGCCATGTCCCGCCTCGCCGCGCGCGGCGATTGCAACTGATTTTACTAGAGCAACATGGTCTGTACTTATTCGACGGGCTGCTGTATTTCTTCAATAGGACCTACTTTTGCAACCGTTGGAAATCTCATGAACCTATGCAAATCAAGAAAAATGCATAAGGCGAAAGGCATCCGCGAGAGCACCCTCCGCGGCGGTCGGCAGGCTGACCTCTTCGGGCAGTCCTAACCGTTCCCTCAGGGTACAGCATCGTGGATGTGTCAAATGGGGTCAGTACTGCCGCCGCCACTCGGAAGAAGGTCCTCGGTAAGAGACGCCTTTTCCCGAACGCTACCTACAATTTCCCTCATTTTCCAGTTGTTCCGACCTAAAGTGGTTTTTGTCGAGCGGGAAGGTACGATCCCGTATGGTGTTTCATACAACGATCTGTGGCCTGACACGCGTATATAGGGTATGTACCCTCTGTTAGCGCGCGCAAACGGACACGCTGTGTTAACGGGGACATGACTTGGTGCGCAGCCAGACCAGATTCCCCACCAACTGTATCTTACTCAGGACTACATCATTGGTGGAAGGAGGTCGACCTGCCCTGCGCTAGCCCATTTGTGGTGCCGGCGTACACATGCCCTACTTCGTTTTCTTTGGAGTACTTGCACCATCCTCAACGATATCCAGGCACATATGAGAATAGGGTCCTATTATTCCCTAAGTGGGCTCTTTTGGTGAAAATAGTGTAAGCTCTTCCAGAACATGTCTTCCACTATGGAATAATGAGAATTCTATCAAGATTTGGATTTTGGCATTCTACTATTGTATTGACCTTTTCAGCATGGTTCGATTATTCTACTCTACCATCCTTGTGCCGATCAAAACGAGTTACAAAAACTACGCAGAATTGTTACCAATTGTCTTTATCGCCATATTATCACGCCCTACAACAAGCTCTCTGCAATAAGGGTACGTGAAGTTATGAATATTTTAGATTTAGACCATGTTGTTCCCGGGCGTAGTTCAGCACATTCGAGCCAAGGCAAGTGGTGGGGATAGATTATAATAGTGGTTGCAGTGCTGCGGCTCGGTTTTGCTGAACTAGGCCAGGTTTTCCTTGTTGGTTTCTATTTAATGTTGAATGTTGTTATAATATTATCGCACTTTCAGCCGTTCGCTTTGGTATCCTGGGGATCGCTGTTAGAAATGAATCATGTGGACGAGCGTGAGAGTATCGCCTTCATAAAGGTAATAACTTTTTCTTCCAGGGTTCCCAAGGATACCTTACGGGTAGTGCATCGCTAGGTTTCCAAATTCGGTGAGAGCTGTTCTATAGCTGCGCCTTGGAATGGATTTATTCACTTTATGATGCGCTCCAACAGACTGCCTCATCATTAGATAAAACGAATAGTTCCAAGCCTACGTCATACGCCCGTTGAGGGGGAATGAGAAAGGGTCTCTTTTCTGGATCATATCGTGTTCGCGCGATATCCTGTTGCTCCCGGATATGTTGCTTATGCTGTGGGAGCAAAGTTGCCTCTTCACCTCAACGGAGATTGCAATTTCACACTTATGGCAAAGCAGGATGGCGAGCTTAGGGCGAAATTTCTATCCAGTTATTCCTTGCAGGCACGCAACTAAGCGTTTAAAGAGCGAAATATACACCTCATCTCCGTGGTTCCTGGTCTTTGCCATGCTTGAGGTGAGAAGGTCTGAGGTGAAGCTGCAGTAGAGTGCCAACTTCTCCTGTCAAAAGTGAACGGGAAGGGGACTGGAGCTACGTACCCATTCACCTCGTAAGTTTGTCTTTGTCTGCTTGTTTCATCCGATGATGAGATCAGGATGTAGCACTGTGATGGATAGAGGGCGGCGTTAGACTTTCAAGATCATCCCCTAGCCCGACCCCTTTTCGACAGCCCACCTACCACCTTTTGCATGATTTCACATTTGATCTTTCAGCAGCATGCTCGAAACGCACCAGAAGATTTGTCAAGAGATGGCATTTATGATGCGTTCCTCATCCATCACGCAACGTTTGTCAGTGATGAGATGGACAACAATATTTGTGGTTTTGCCAAAGAATAACTTATCTTCGCAATAACTTTTCTGCATGTTTGTTTATGCAGGATTCGATGGAAATGAGATTGTGCATCACGTGATCGAGTCTTTATTTATTTCGCTTCATTTATAATTTAAGGAACAGATAGGTGCTTAAGTTGGAGAGTTACTTGGTTGTGCATGTATGTATCTCGTTCGAAAGGGCTGCAATAAATTATTTTCTGTCAGAGCATTATCTAATCAATTTCGTAGATATCGAGCAAATACTTCACTATTCCATTATCACAAAAAGGATTTCCCAAATAGCTAGGCAGTTGTTTCCAGTTATGAGTACGCAATTACCATTGCAATTCACGTTCGACTCTGACACAGTCATTGAGATCGACCCATCATTAATTGCTAAGTTAGCGAGATGTCGACAAGAGGGACCTCTTACTCGTTCTGCAGCTCACGGTAAGGCTGATGAAAAGACCTTTGAGAGAGTTCAGTGAAAAAAAAATGAGAGCAACTGGTTTCAGAGGATTCACGTCAGGATGGAGGTGCGTCGAAAAAGGTGGAGGGACCTGTGAGTTTCCTCGATACATTTGAAAAAATTACAAGTAACTTCATTGCTATAAAGGGACTGGGTACTGAAAGTGGACGATCTGTAGGGCCTATCGAGCAGATGTCTGATTTGCGCCTATGCCACCCCCCCCCCCCAAGTTCTTGGAGGGCACATATTATGTTTTTCAAAGTATAATTGGCGAAGGTGGAGTAGGGAACAGGAACCGTTCACCACGCGCGTAGTGCGGGGGTGTAATCCGGGATCGAATTCTTCCTTTACAGCGAACCTCCCTTCCCTTCAAAGCAGGAGAGTCGTTTATCGCAATTTATTTACCCCTTTCCGTTGTTTATTTATTGATTTCAGTTGAGAGAGGGACCTTCAGTCACACATACGAAGACAGAGAAAAAGAATCGCGAGAATTCTGAGCAGATAGAATAGACTTGAAGGAAATAAACTTGAATCAGGAACTGAGACGACAAATATGATACGTAAGAGCGCGTTCAGACTTCGCGATCGCGCGATCGCGAAGTCTGAACGCGCTCTAACCACTACTCATTGAACAAAACGCATGATAGCGACACTAAGCTGGAGAAAGAAAGGATGACAGCTGTCGCTTCCCCGTAGCAAACGTAAAATATTCAAAGGAAAATAATCGCCAATCATGTCGCTAATCACGAGTTGGCTAGTCATGGGTGACAACGTGCAGTTTACCGCATTGTTCATCGTGTGGAGAAAAGACGCGCTACAGTACCTACCTACCCAGCTCTTCGCTGTTATATCCAACCGGAAGTAGGTTGGAATGCCTAGTGGTGACATCAGAGGATCAGGGGCTCACCAAGACAAGGGTTTCATTGTTGGGGCCTCTCAACGGAAGCGAACCTCACTTCTTTTGCTCTGAGGGAAGCCCTGTGCATTATGCAAAAACGGATGAAAAAGCTGTGATCTGGGATCCCCCTTGGTAGAAAGTTGGGCGTAGTTAGAATACGTGGCGCACTCTAGAAAGGCAGTGAACAACGTTGAACGCCTCAATTTTAGGACTTTCTTCGTCCAACCAGGGGCATACGGCGCTGTTCGGCTTAGGGGAGGGGAAAATTTGCACAGTCGCTGGTTCTTTTGTTAGATCTTGTTATTACATGTCTCGCATTGGGAGACCTGTGAACTCTTGTCAGGTGTGAGGAAATCGCTATTGCACAGCCTAACAGGAGTTAACAGGTCGCCACTGCAGCCATCGGCACTGATCGATGGGAACAGCGAAATGCCCCACCAAGCCAAACGGCGCTAGCGCTTGGTGAATGTTAGACCTGGACTTATTTCCTCCCCCAGCGGTCATTTTTCTTCTCATTTTCATTTCTTTACGTTCGATATCTACAGCATGGTAAATGTACGCGTGCAATGTTTGAGTGTTTGACGGAATTACCATAGTAAACGTAAGAATATGCCATATTTTGAAATAGGGCTGCAATGAATTTCTCTTGAGAGGGCTACATACGACGTGGGAAAAGGCTGAGTCAGACCTTGCCGCTTGACAGAGATCCAAGGGGCGAATTTTTATGGCTTCCCGTATTCTGTAGTAGAGACGCGCCTTGCCACTCTGATTTTAGTGTTTAACAGTCTGATGTGTTTAACAATTTTTCTTGCTTTATTGTCAGTACCGCTTAGGGATGTTAATTTTTTTAGAAAATGCCGTCACGTTGTTGGCTTTGTAAAGCAAGTCGTCTCCGTGTTGTGAATGTTGGAAACACTGGTCGTCGAATTCTGGAATGTGCAAATCGGAATTGCCTAGCAACTATTGAATATACAGACCTCCCTCAAGGAACTATAATAGAACAAGAGAAAGCAACGGTATCTTTACTCGGAAATTCGCTCGATCTCTTTTTCTTTTTTTTGTTTACTTTTCCTTCAGTTTTTCCCCGCTAGTCAACAGGATTTACTGACTTTCACTGGCCATTGTTTCAGAAGAGAAACTATGGATGGTATTTGCGAGATACATCAGAAATGGTATATCCCACTAAAGAGCGATTAGAAGCATTCCCGAAGTAAGTGAATCTGCGGAAGATTGATAGGCTGCATTTATACTTTTCGTCAGCGTTTCAAGCGGCTATAAAGGTGTAGATATTGGTCTAGCGTTGGAGTGTACCCCTGCGTTCTGAGCGTTTTCGTAATCATTTTTGAGCTTTTGGCGAGCAGTTGCTGAAAATGCTGGCGTACGCTCGAAACGCTAGACCTATATCTATACCTTCCTAGTCGCTCGATTATGCTATGCTGCTCTACGCTGGCATACGCTTGAAACTCTGCCTCACGCTGAAAACGCTGAAGAAAGTATGACCACCAGCTATGGTACTTTTTTGTGTTAAGAAAATCTCTGGAATTGCAGTCCGCCGTTTGAATACGTGCCAGAAGTGTTGTACGACTCAGATGGACGTGTTGTCGTTCGTTGTCCAGGCCAGCGAAAACTTGTGTTGTTACAGTAAGGGTGGACAGAGGACTCTCCAAGCGTCAGTATATATCAGTTTGTGTTCTTTATGCATTACTGGAATGATTTTACTATGATCTCCGATGTAAATCTGAAACTTTTTCCATGTTGTTTGTGAACGAAGTTTGTTTCTCTATCATGTAATGCAGCTTTCATACTTCGTGGCTCGAGCCATTCAGATCTCGGTATCGCGCTATCAATGCTACCAACCGCGCTCCACCGCTAATTGTGGACCGCTGCACTTGCTAGCCTGATCGAAGTTAGAATGAAACTTATTTGGACCGCTGCATACTGTCACTTAAACGCGCGACAGAACCGCTCGAGTTATGGAGTACGAACGCGGCCAAAGTTCCCTCAAACCACGTGGCTCGTTCAGACAATACCTCATTTGAAAACCCTAATAATAAGTTGTTGTTTATGTCCATAAAATCATTAAAATAGCCAGAAACTTGTCGTTTGAGGTAGAATCTTCCTCACCACTGGTGTTTTCACTTCAAGCGTTCCCCTCATTATTGTTCGGTAGATTCGTTGTCCGGGAAGTTCTTGCCGATTTTGAGTCGCGAATAAATGAATGAAATAACCTTAACTGGGTTCATTTTGCCTTGAATGGTCCCGGATTTGAAAACACTTTCCGCTTTAAACTAAGACTCAGATGTGTTATATGGCCCGGTTGGCGATGGTAGAGTCAGATGTGTTATATGGCCTGGTTGGCGATGGTAGAGATTACGTAACATTAAAAAATGAATATTTACCTAGAATTTTGGAAAACCGTGACCGCGCTGAAAAGTGGGCGGGGATGTTGGGGCGGGGTTTGCAGCAGTACCTAGTGTGGTATAGTTATCAACTGCCTGTTGTAAGGGGTGTGTCCGAAATTATTTGAATATTTATATTAAGGCTGGTGTTCAACGAGACGTCGCTAACACGGTAATGAAACATCGCTACTATTATAAAATTTGCTTCTATGTTTGTTTTTTTTATTTGTCCAGGAATTCCACTCTACCTGAAGAACACTTTGGAGAGGCCGGGTCAAGGTTGGATGGGTAGGACATGGGACAAGATGCAAAGAGCACTCGTGACCTGTGCTAAGCCCCGCCCGTAGCGGGCGGAGCATGCATTCGTCTGCGACGGGAAGGTGAGCAGCTTCGCAGGCAAAAACTCATTTTTCGCTTCTGGGGCACTAGAGATGGAGTAAAGCGGAGACAGGTTAGCAAGGGTTGGCGGAGCGGCATTCCGTTTGCGGTTGGGCTGTCAGGGAATAACGTCATTGATGTGCCCCTTCTCTTTACGCGCCCTTTACCTGAACATTTTCGCGCACGCAACTCGCGTGCATCTCTACGATAAATGCGCTCGCTTTCCACCTAAGAAAACACTCTACTAATGTTGTGTGTGAACAGTGTTCCTTTGAAAATTGCCTTTTGGTCGAAAGGGACTTGGTTTATTTGTCATTACTTTGTTGTACATGAAGATCTGATAGTCACTCCACTTTAATGAGCAGACTTAATTATTGCCGACTCCAATCTTCCAAACTCGCCCCTGTTTTATGTATTCTGATTCAGTTTATTTTTAGTTTTAATTGAATTCGGAAAAATTCTTTGTACACGTCATATTTATTATACACATGACATATTAGTATTTCATCCACAACAAAAGATCACAACCGTAAGACCCACAATACGTAAGCGGCAAGAATTAGAGGGGTAAAAGTTCTCGTTATAACTGCTTTATTTCCTTGCCAGTTTTCTTTAGTGTCTCTAATATCTCACTGGCCGGTAAGTCGGTGGTGACCACCACTTGCTTCGTGCCGACATCAATGTTGTCAATGGTTACCTTGTCTTAAAGATAATGATGAAATTTAGCATTCGAGTAAGAATGATGACGTAGACTTACCTCCAAGCTTCCCAAGAACTCGTCGTGCTGCGTTAGCGCAACCATCGCACGTCATCGCCATCTCAAACGTGTACTAAAGAATTACCTCATTACATCGAAATAGTGGTAAGGCAACAAATGGAATTTATTTTTTTTTAATTTTTATTTCCAAGTGCATTCTGGTGATTGAAGTGAAGTTGTTGTCAGTGTAGTTGGAACGGGGATTACATGACTTCTCGATCTTTTTGTCATGCTTGAAACAACGATTCGCCCCGCGCCCCATCCCATTCCTCACCGACTGTACCAGCTCGTCCTGACTATGTCCCAAAGATCAACACTTATTCCAACTCACTGTATCACGATAAGGGTATCACGATAACAAGAAAAGGAAAACAACGAAATAAGAAAGAAGAAGGCTTTGCGGTGAAAGGTGTTCCGATATCCCCGGGTAAAAAAATCGTTCTTTGGTTCCACCCGAGCATCCC